CTTCCAACCCACATGAAGTCAGAGCACTGGCGTCAACACTGGCTCTGCATGGAAATTGCTCTATATCTGCTATTATGGAGGGCTGCTTTTGGAAGTCGGACACAGTGTTTGCCAACCACTACCTCCGAGACATAGCCACTGAAGACATCTCAGGCATTCACCAATTTGGGCCTCTCGTTGTAGCACAGCAACTAACGGTTCCTCAAAGGCGCGCTGAGTTGGAAAATCTCACCCTTTATCATGTTGACTTGTTGATAACTTTTACTAAGGAAAAGTATTAGTTTGAAAGTCCATGCGCACAGTCTAGGACAGGCTAGCATGAGTGATTAAAGATCCTGTACGGGTAAAGATCTTACCCGTACGTGAAGGGGTCGCAACTCATTTATGATCTTATCATAATCTATGGGTTGTTATAAGATATCTAGTAATAAGAAGATACTAGTTTATCTGTAGCCACAAGAAAGTGGTCCCCTCGAGTTATAACGGAAGTTGGAAGAATAGGATCACAGAAATGCTGTTTCGCAGTTCCCAGGGGTGGGGGGTGTACTGGACGTATCTAAGGACAGCTGTTGAATCCAGGAAGTGGCTTGGCCCACCACCAATCCGTCAGATTCTATAAGCAGAAGATCATGAGTCAGGATAAGAAAAAAATATGTAATTTTTTAAGTAAAATTGATATTTTTATACTTATCCTGACTCATGAGGTCAAACCCTCCCAACCTCCCCGCTGGAAACACTTCGGATTTCACAGCAGATCAAAGTGCATGGGCAGAAAATCAAGAGAGTGTGACAAGTAAGGCTGGTCACATGACTGTTTACGCGGGAAAAGGGCAAAAGGGAGGTAACTCGTGGGTGAGTGTATTTTTACGGCCGCTTCGGGAACTTCAAGGGATTCAATTGTTTCCACTACCATTCGAAAAGAAAAGGGAGATAAGCAAAAGATCATGAGTCAGGATAAGCATAAAAATATATATTTTACTTGAAAATTACATTTTTCGTGCGATCATGTTATGCAAGTCAAGTGACATCTCGGCTTTCGTCACCTCGATCTTCATGCTCCGACACAATGTTTAATGTCAAACAAATTGCATAAAGAATATTCGTCACAGGTCACCACCTAGCACGATGCGTCCAATATGTTCCATAATTTATGTAGTTATGGCGATTTCCTGCTTAACACGTTCAGAATAGCATCATTGTACCCAAAACTTTTGTCTAAATGATTATGAGGACGGTATCCATTGCTGTAATATGATTGGCTGCCTTAGGTTATGTGCATGATTTTTACCAATCACAAACCTTATAACAGACTGTGGAGAAAAGGCGTCATTAGGAACCAATCTTTATGCAATAAGATAGCTTTTCCTATTAGCTCCTGGTAAGGTTACTGTGATCTTATTGATGATCAGAGCATTTGAACGATACCCGCCATCAAATGAATCTTTTTGAGTGTTATTCATACGGAACTTCAAAAACGGAGGCATTTCCCAATGTTGTGTCATGTTACCAGGTGAAAAGCCAAGTCTATTGGGAAATAGGCGATCACACATATTATTTAATTAATCTTTAGATAATAATTTTCTGATTACGTAAAAATGAAAATATGAAAGAAACAGGTAAGAGGATATTATGACATCTCACAAATGAATTAAAATAGGGGGAGTTTTCATCTCCTTCCTGGTTTAACTGGACATTATATGTGTGTAAACTTGTATTTTTATTAGAAATATTTGAGTTGAAGTTGTATTATTTGAATAATATGTTTAAAATACCTTTGGTATTTATCAACAGTTGGATTAGACCTAAAAATTTAAATGGTTTATGACATGTAGTAGCAATAATGTTTCACGAGCTGATATTTTCCTTGACAAACGTAGGCTTTTATCTTATTATAGTCCGTTTGGCACAAAATCGGACCGATGAATTGCAGTCTAATTAAAAAACTACTAAACATATAGTTCTCTATGAAACACTGAACATAACCAAAACATCAGACCAACTCTGTGATTTTTTTGCAGAATTTATGTCCTAAAAATATAAAAGTTGTTTAACAAACTATCATTAAAACCTTCCAACAGTTCACTTCGTCATGCCAAAGACCCGGGTTCAAATCCCCACATGGGCAAAATGTGTGAAGCCCATTTATGGTGTCCCCCGCCGTGATGTTGCTGGAATATTGCTAAAAGCGGCGTAAAACCAAACTCAGTCAGTCAGTCAGTCAGTCAGTGTTATGAGGGAGGGGGGCAAAGAGAGGAACAGCCAGGTGTACAAGAAAGGATGGAGATGGCACAGCACAGGTTAATGAATCAATGCTTCATTGTAATTCAATGCGCTAAGGACAGGAAATGTATGAATCCTCTGACTTCCAATCCGTCTTTTCGTTGCTCAAACAACATCAGAGGCCATTTTGTTTCTTCGGCAGCTCTTGCTATCAACGATGAAGGATGGGTGGATGTCTTGGACATTACCCGGAATTTCAACTATCAACATTGCTGGAAGCAATCAACACCCTCCTTGTCAAGGACGCAGTAGGAATAATGAATCAGGACATGTTAAGTCCAGGATATTATTCCCTGATATTTCTCGTATCCAAGAAAAACACAGAGAAATTTCGACTAATCTACAATATGAGAAAGTTCAACCTAGATTATCTACTGAAGCCAGACAATTCAAGATTGTACATCTACCTGAGCTCAAACAAGTCATAAAGCCAAACAACTTTCTGGCCAGCATCGATCTGCAAGACGCCTATCTGCACATTCCTATTCACCTGGCCTTGAGGAAATATCTCAGATTCCTATTTCCTCCCCTTTGGAATTTCTTCGGCTCTGTGGCTATTTACTTGTGTAACCAAGCCCATAGTGGCTTATCTCCATTGCAAGGGAATACCCAAATGGGAATACCCTTTTATCTAGACGACGGAATACAGGCTTATCAACAAGCAGATCAACTCAAACTGCAGTTGAACTTCACCATACAACTACTAACCCAGCTGGGTTGGTTAGTCAATCTTATGAGATCGGGACTCAACCCTTCACAGGATCTCAAGTTACACACTGCCTCACAAGACGAGGGTAGTCTACTAGAGCAGCTAAAGCAGTAACTTTAGTACTCAGACGCTCGACTAGAAATCTTCATGATGACAAATGGAAGAGTTCCCAGCAGTTTGCTACTAGCAAAGGATTCTCAGCCATTAAAGCTTCACACCCTCGAGTTGCGGAATATTTATGCCACATGAGAGCTACAAGACACTTAAAAGGATGTACTCTCTCAACTTGTGGCTATTAGCTCAGTTCTCACTATGAACTCATGAGTAAAACTCACCCAGGTTCCCAAACTTGTCGCCTTATTACAGTCATTTAAACGTGAGGATCAACAAAACAAGTTTAAGGCTCCGGCATGGGATCTCAATGTAGTTCTCCAACATCTTACTAGTGAAGACTATGAGCCTCTGACGGAAGCTAATTTTGAGTTGCTAATTCAGAAAACGCTATTCTTACTCGCACTGGCTACAGCTGCTAGAATGTTGGAAATACATGCTCTAGACATAGGCCGAACTAGATTCAACTTCGGACTTATAGCAAAAAAATCAACTACCAGGTCAACCGAACGGAAACTGCATCATTCCGGCATTATCTTCAAAATTAGGACCCAACGACACACACTACTTATCATTATGTCCAGTCAGGGCATTGAAGATCTACTTGAAACGAACTGCTACTAGACAAAGGAATTTTAAACATCTATTCAACCTGTTGTCGACTGCTACATGTATAGAAGTCTGTAGAACTACGATCTGCTTTTGGATAAGAGCAGTCATCTTACAAGCATATAAAGCAGCAGGATTGGATCCACCTAGAGCTACCAATCCACATGAAGTTAGAGCACAAGCATCAATTTTAGCTCTCCATGGCAACCGCTCTCTATCGTCCATCATGGAAGGCTGCTTTTGGAGATCAGAGACTGTCTTCGCCAACCATTATCTCAAAGATATCATCAAGGAAGATGTATCCAGTATTCACCCATTTTGGACCGCTTGTAGTGGCACAATAATTGACAGTCATGACCAAACGATAGGAAGGATTTAAAACTCACCCTTAATCACGTAGACTCGTAGACGTTAGGTTACTGTTCCATAACCACCAACAGAGTGTCTCTGATCCCGTCTTACAAGATAAGTCAGCACATAAGTGATGCAATTCAGTTTCGAAAGTATCCCCTTTCTTAGCATATGTTTTAAGACAACCAGAATCTAGAAATTCTCAGTGTGTCTTTAAAATCCACTAAATTGTAAGATTTACTTGTTTTACTCTGGTATGAGAAGGTGGTTCCCTGCTCAACCAGTCGCAGATTTAGAAGAATGAAGAAGAGTTCCCAGGGGGTATATGATCAGACTAGGAAGCTTGATCGAACAATCACAGGGAAACCCGATAGGTGGCTGACCCACCACCTGTCAGTTGGATTCAAGCAATAAGTATGAGTCAGGATAAGGAAAAATATGTAATTTTTGTGATAAAATTGATATTTTATACTTATCCTGACTCATACGCTGAGGGCCCTCCCAATGGTCTGCTCTCATCAGTATCTAACCTCCCTGTAAGCTGTAATGGGGGCTTATACTATTATTACGGAGAGAGTGACAATATGGCCACGGTCAAATGGGAAGCAGTGGCGGGAAGAGGCACAATAATTGACTATCGGGGTGAGTCAAGGTGTGACTGTTCTTGGGAACATTAGGACAGAGGTTTCCACTCAACCTTCGGAGGGAAAGGGAGATAAGCAATAAGTGTATGTCAGGATAAGTATAAAATATCAATTTTATCATAAAAATTACATATTCTATATCAGTTTATTCCAAAAGATTCCATTTTCAATGGCCCTGTCTGAAGTTTATTCCAGTCTTCAGTAAAATTAATTGGATAAGGACTAGTGCATTCTAGAAGAACATACATGCCATAAAAATGTTTTTGTAGTAAGTATACCAGTATCTGTCATTTCAGCCTATGTTGTGGCTTGTGAGCAGCTTGCAGCAGAAGAGGGGGACACTTTAAATCTAACAGAAGAAAATCATATGAAGAAAATAAAAGATAAAACTGTTTCAGAAAGGTAATTTTTGTTTGTAATTATGAGATGCTTAGGCTTTAAATACATCTTTTCACAAATTATGTGGTGAACAGAGTTTCCCAGGATATATACTTGTTTGAGATACTCTTTGATAATTCCAGGAAGGAATATCACATAATTCACTGACGTATCTTGTTAAGGTAGGTTCAGTGAATGAGTTAGTGATGTGATATTGTATATCGCATTAGCATCATTTTAGCCATATAGCAATGAGAACATTTGAAGATCTGAGCATGTCGTTTTACAACTTTTCATGTCCATTTCTTAAATGACAAAATGCAAAAGCATTTTTCTTTCATTATCAAATGGTGCTTCATCACCCTTCCCCAAATATTTGTTTCTTTACACCATCATATACTTATGATGACCCACACCTGATTCCCTCTGACCCACCAACATAATAGGTAACTGTCCCTTATGCTAGGTTCTCACTGTCATGCGATCTGTTATAACCGCCACAATTGGCCAATCATAGCTGATCGTGGAACTTCTTTGAAATTTCAGTTTGGATACTAGGTGGTGTCGATATGTTCTGATACGATTTATTGTGCTTGGATACTGTCTCGATTGGTTAATTTAAGGTGACACGATCTGTCACGATCCAGTCTCCGGTTCAGATACGATCCCATGCGTTGTGATAGGATTGTCCTGATCGAGTCCACGATTGGGTTGGGATGTGACTAGTGGTGCTCCGATAAATTGAAACAATCGAAGATTGGTCGCAGTGACCAAAAGACCAAGCAATCGATCACATTTTCTCATAATCAAACACAAACGATTTTGGAACTACTGGTGTACTCTTTGAAACACTTGATGATGGAACATATCTTTGAAGTTGTCAGGGCCTGAAAATGTGTTTAATTGTTAAGAATAATCACTTCACTAAGTGAAAAGTCATGACTGAATATTTCTTGAAGACTCTGGGAAGTTTATGTTCATGATCATACATTAGTCATCACTTATAAGTAGCAAGTTGCATCATCTTATACTTAGTTGCAATAACAACCTGAATAGTAAAATCTGAAAAATGACGCTAACCAATTTTTTTTCGATGGTTGATCGTTTGTAATGTCCCCGATTTGGGACGATCTGGTACGTGCAGGTACGCTCCGATACGTTCACCACAAACCGATGCTCTTTGTTGCGATAGGATACGACTGCGGTGGCGATGTCTTTCTCGATCATGATCGAGGGTGATCACGATTTGAGTTACGATTGGACCCCAACGGATATATATACAACCCGACTGACCTTGGACTTCATTGTTTCTTAAACTTCTACAGAGTGAACACTACAACCCACAACCATTGATGATGGCAGGAGTTGATGATGACAACATGGCATTTGCAGTATTACTGAATGCTTACATTATCGCCAGAGAGGAAGAAGAGAGATTACAAGTTTGTCTGGATTGAGCTTGGTGGAAAAGGACACTTGTCAGATGCTAAGATATGTGGTGACTCAGGGCTGTTCAAAGGTATGGAAGAGAAAGTCCCAGGACTCCCCCCACCCTGCCCTCTGACAGCAAGCCCTGATGACCACCAAGACATGCCCTTCTTCATCCTGGGGGAACTCACGAACTACCTCATGAAGCCATACAGCAGAAGAAGGATGTCCAGGAAGGAGAGGATTTTTAACTGCAGACCCTGAAGGGGTAGGAGAGTGGTAAAAAATGCCTTTAAGATCCTGGCCAATAGATTCAGGTTTCTCCTCAGGACTCAAGAGCAAGTCCAACACTGTGAAGGATGTAGTAGAGGCGGCAGTGGCTCTGCACAACCTACTGCAGCTGAGGCATCAAGGCATTGCAGCACAAGGATGAAAATCACAATGTCATCCCAGGGGTATGGAGGGCCTGAGTGGACTGGCTAGGTTGGCCTGTTGCACCTTGCAAATCAGCTAGAGCAGATGCTGAGGATCAGAGGGAACTGCTGAAGACCCATTAATTCTGATTTCCAGTACATATATGGGCACAAGAACTCATAACAGATCATGAGCATCCATGAAAAAAAGAGTCAATGCTTGTATCTACTCGCATTTACTCGTATCAACTCGTATCTGCTTGTGAGTCATTCCTGTCAGGTCTTGAACAATGGGACCTGACAGAGCATAACAGATCATCGGAGATCGAAACAAATCTCAACAGAGCATGGTGTTTGTCTTGTCCAAGATTGATTCTGATCACCACAACTTGGAAGCACAATTATAGATGTGATACCCTGTGCTTTGTTACAATGCAATATAATCTGATGCGATTATCACGATTGACAATTAATCGTAGAAAATTTCCCATCAAGATCTGATAGGATCACCACGATTAGTCCATGATTTCAATATTGGGGACATAGCATAAATATAGAAGGAAATACAGAAAGATAGTAAAAGTAAGCATTTTTTCAATTGTCTCCAAAAACATTGGTGATCTACGAAGCCTACCGGCTGTATTTAACTAGATTAGAGTAATTGGAGCACACTTTTCTCTATTATTCTATCATTGTTTTCTCAGGGTTAATCAGCATTATCCACCATGATCATGATAAACATCCAAAATTTGAAATTATTGATATATACAGTATTGTTATATAGTGGTGTTCCAATTAATTGAAATAATCGAAGATTGGTCGCAGTGACCAAATGACCCAACATTCGATCACATTTTCTCATAATCGATATAAACGATTTTGGAACTACTGTTTTAGTCTTTGCAACACTTGACAATGGAACATTTCTCAAGTTGTCAGGGCCTGAAAACGTGTTTAATTATTTTTCCTTATCCTGACTCCTGATTATTTGCTTTCTCATCCTCTCTTCCGAACGGTCAAGTGGAAACTTGAATCCTGTCAATTCCCTTGAAGCGAACGTACAATCACTCACCCTTTATTACCTCCCCTGGTTTCCCGCCAAAACCTGGCACGTGACCTCCCATGCCTTGGTCCTCATTCTCTCCTCTATCGCCCTAGCGGACAGTTGGGTGGTCACTTCAGGGTCCTTTCGCGGCGTATAACTTAAAAAGTTTTGGAATTATAACACAAATTCTGCCGTGAATGTGTTTATTAATATATTATTCATCATATTATTAACAAAATTTGTACATTTCATGTCAAATTAATTCACGTTTTACTCCGTTTTCAGATGACTGTTTGCTTACATTTTAAAAGTGTAAACAGTGATTCAGCACATCTCTACACTTGAATTACACTCTGGTGTTCTTCTTGTCTGGTTTATAAGTTGAATATGTCTTGATGTTGATTATTCTGTATAATCATATGTGTATATATTGAATTTATGACCTTATATAGTAATTGAATTGTGAAAATGTACTTGTAAGATGTTTTTATATGTGATTGCGAATTTGATTCTAATATTTTACAACCTGTTGGTACAGTTAACCAGACTGCATGAAAAGGTGATACAGTCGTGAAAATTGTGAGTTGCTGTGACTACGGCTTGAGCTGTGCTGATATATGATGTCATCCCAGCCTAAGTCTGCGACGTCACCCGTACGGGAGAAGGTATCTCCACACACTGTAAGTAAAAGGAAGTCCCCTCTGGCAGAGAAGGCATCACAACATAAGAAGAGCAAGACGACTGCTTCAGGGAAGCAGTCATCATCATCCAGGCGCCCATCTAGATCGTCCCAATCTGGTAAATTGGCGAGATTGATGCTACATACGTCTATGCAGCATCTATCAACAGATATTGATGTGCCTGGCACTGAAGCAGATGGTTCCAGCTTCGGGCAGTCCTCCAGTGTTGCAGCCGGAGATTTTCCTTTCAGAGTCGCAGAGATGTTCCAGTCCTGAGATACTGTCAGCACAGATTAGAAGCATGACATCGCCGATGTCATCGTTGCAGTCTACCGAGAGCAGTGATGCAGATAGACTATCGAAAGTTACTCACTTTCACGCAAGCAGTCTAATGAAGCCGTTGCAGAACCAGAGACAGCAAAAGTCAGACGGGACCCGTTTGCGTTTGCGAATGCTAACCCGTCTACGAGGCCGACAGGCGAGACAGTTGCAGTAATCCCGTAGCAGCATCCAGTGGTCAACGCTGAAGACTTTGCTGATACAATCACCCGTAGGGCGATGCAGGCGATGGAGATGAGTCTAGACCGGGGAGAAGAAGCAGACGGCTCTTGAGAGCAGTGTTGCAGTAGACGAGATGATGGCAGACCGGTCATTTACTACGTCTTCAGCAGTCAACGTAGACATCTCACATCAAGGCCTGGAGGATGTAGTACAGCATACTGAAGAAGATGATGCCATCTTCACTGAAGCTGAGGTACTGGCGTGGGTGGCTGATGGTCTCCCGTTATCATCCCCGGCTAGAGACGGTAATCCAGCGGAGACGTACGGTATGAAGGATGATGACTACGAATCAATTACTATCCCGTCAATTAAGCCCATTGCGCAGGTTTCAGACAACCTGATAGCAGCCTTCGAGAATGGAAGACACGGGGCAACATACTCTGCAGTTTAACCCTAAACAATTCCGACATCACAACATGAGTCAGTTCGACAAGGCGCCAGAAGTTGACGAAGATTTATTTCTGGTGACTGACTCGAAGTCTCGCAGTTACAAGGTGAAAGATAAGAGAATGGCGCAACTTGATTCGACAACCCGTAGAGCCTTCTATGGGTAAGTAAGATCTAGAGCCATCAACGAAGCATTGATGTACGCCTTCAAGAATCCTAAGATGGAAGAAAAAAGATGATCAAGTCTACCTTAGTGGTCCAGCACAAAGATCAGGAATTTATCTCAGATCACTTGGCTTCTACATCGGCGGACATCACCCTTTTACTTCGACAAGGGTTGCTGAGATCCAGTACGTGGCCAGGTGTCTACACGAAGCCTTTACTAAGGAAGCCTTGGGCAGTGCCTACCCTGTTTTACGGCGGCATCCGGCAGTTGTCACGTGAAGTATCTCATGACTCCACAGACTTGATGTTGATCAAGTCCGTACAGACGATGAACACCATGGTGCGTCAATCAACTCAGCGTAGGCAACTAAGATCCCGTTTCTCTGGTATTCAGAGAGCCAAAGAGAAGAAGTTTGCAACTTCACATGGCGGCAACATGGGATCTTTTCGTCGTCCCAGTAACGTCAGAAGTTACTCAGGCCGAGGCAGGATCTCCAGCAGTGGCAGAAGATCCCGTTACTGAAGAGAAGGTTCAGAGCGACTGGTCGCTTCCACCCCCAGCTGTTCCGGTACAACCATCATCCGTGGGTGGACGTCTGGGACTATACTGGGAAAATTGGAGAATACTACAGGACGATTACGTCACAGAAGTCTTACGAGAGGGCTACAGCATCCAGTTGCAGTCAACACCACCATTGACAGATCCACCGTGGGTCTTCAAGTACCTGCAACTACAGCGAGACAAGCTCACTGAAGCTATCGAGATGTTGGTGGTAAAAGATGCAGTAGAGGTAGTCGATCAACGCGGACTGACGCCCGGGTATTATTCTCCAATTTTCCTGGTTCCAAAGAAGAACTCCCAAGAGAAGTTCCGTCTAATCTTCAATATGAAGAGCTTCAACAAGCATTACCTGTTGAAACCAGAGAATTTCAAGATGTTACATCTGCCTCAGCTGAGACAGCTTATCTGACCCAATGACTTCATGGCCAGCATAGATCTGCAAAATGCCTATCTGCATATACCAATACATCCAGAATCATGGAAATACCTGAGATTCCTGTTCGAAGGTCGTCATTACCAATGGAAGGTACTGCCGTTTGGAATTTCATCGGCCCCGTGGTTATTTACGCGAATAACCAAACCGATTGTCGTTTATCTCCATCAGAGGGGCATAGGCAGTGCCTTCTACCTAGACAACGGCATCCAGGCACATCAAGATGCAGATCAACTCAAACTACAACTGCAGTTTACGATCAACCTATTTACGATCAACCTATTGACACAGTTGGGCTGGCTGGTGAATCATCAGAAGTCGGAGTTGGAGCCGACCCAAGATGTACAATTCTTAGGCATCAGATTCCTGACGTCAGAAAATCACATTCTGGTGCCAGACGATCGATGGCACAGCATCCAGTCATGCATACCAGACGCTCTCAAAAATCCACTAGACTTGAGAATGTAGCAGCGAATCTTGGGTCTATTGACTTCGGCACAGGCTCTCACCCGCAGAGGAAGATTACAACTTCGTCCGCTACAACGGTTCCTGATAGCACATCTAGACGATGTCCAGAAGTTTGCCATCCCACAACATCTAAAGCAAGCCTTGCTTTGGTGGACAATAAAATCGAATGTTTGCGGTGGAACCTATTTGAGAGAGCCAAATTACAACAGACATCTCTACGTGGATGCGTCCCTCCAAGGTTGGGGGGCACATCTCAACGACGAAGTTATGGCAGGGCAGTGGTGACAAACAGAGAAGGGTCTGCACATCAATCAGCTGGAACTGAAAGCAGCAATAGAAGCAGTACTACATTGGGTGGCGCAATTAAAGAATCAGGTACTGATGATACACACAGACAACTCCACGGTGGACTTTTACATAAATCTGCAAGGGTCCACAAGATCAGCACTGCTGCTTCAACTGACGTTCCAGCTATTCGACATCGCAGTCAAAATCAACCTGAAGATGAGGGCTTGCCACATCCCAGGGGCAAAGAACATCTTAGCAGACGCTCTATCCAGACCACTACGTCCATCTCCCACAGAGTGGAAGTTGCATCCGGTGGTGTTCCAGTGGATAACAGCCCAACTAGGCTGTCCTCACATAGACCTGTTTGTGACCGGCTTCAACAATCTGGTGACAACATTTGTCTCGCCAGTGCCAGACCTGCTGGCATGGGCTGTCGACGCCTTAGCCATATCATGGGAAGGGATGATGGCTTACGCCCTCCCTCCATCGATCCTGTTACCACAAGTACCTCGCAAGATCAACCGGACGAGGGTCCTACAACTGACTTTGGTAACGCCTTACTGGCCAGCAAGACTATGGTTCCCAGACCTCATAGATCTTCACGGCAAACCTGTACTACGACTCCCAGACTGGCCGAATCTACTCGTCCATCCTCACACCAAGCAGCGACACGGCAACCCAAAAGCATTCCAGCTACACGTATTGAACATATCACATACTGCTTGAAGGGTCGAGGATACTCCACTAGAGCAGCCAAGGCAGTAACCTTAGCTCTACGTAGATCTACACGTAATCTGTATGATGACAAGTGGAGAAGTTTTGAACAGTATGCTGCTCAACATAAGTTTATGGCCAGAAGAGCGACTAATCCACAAGTAGCAGATTACTTGTGTCATTTGAGGTCCATTAGACATCTGAAGGGTTCCACATTGTCTACTTATCTTGCAGCAATCAGTTCGGTCATCACCATGAAGACAGGGGTGAAGTTGACCAAAGTGCCTGAACTTATGGCCCTGCTGAGATCATTCAAGTTAGAAGATCAACAACAGAAATTCAGGGCACCAGCTTGGGACCTCAATATGGTACTTCAGCACCTCATAAGTGAGGTATATAAGCCACTGACAGAGACGACATTTGAGTTATTAACTCAAAAGAACGATATTCCTCCTCGCCTTGGCTACTGCAGCTCGGATGTCTGAGATACACGCCCTTGACTTCAGCCGTACGAGATTCGACACGAGAAGAAGGGAAGCAGTCCATCTAGGCCTTAGATGGGACTTTATACCCAAGAATCAGCTTCCGGGACAACCAGATGGTCAGTTTTACGTTCCAGCATTATCAACTATCTTGGGTCCACACGACACTCAAGATCTATCTCTATGTCTGGTCAGAGCACTGAAAATCTACTTGCAGAAATTGGCTACGAGAAGGGGGAAGTTTCAGCGTCTATTTATCCCGCTATCACCCGCTACGACGGTAGAAGTCTCCCGTACTACGGTCACCTTTTGGATCAGAGCGGTGATCTTAAGGGTCTACAAAGCAGCAGGGTTAGAACCTCCAAGAGCATCTAACCCTCATGAAGTAAGAGCATTGGCCTCGACACTCACCCTACGTGGAAACTGCTCAATGTCATCTATAATGGAAGGCTGCTTTTGGAAGTCAGACACTGTCTTCGCTAACCACTACCTGAGAGACATCTCCACGGAGAGAGTGAGGACCAAGGCATGGGAGGTCACGTGCCAGGTTTTGGCGGGAAACCAGGGGAGGTAATAAAGGGTGAGTGATTGTACGTTCGCTTCAAGGGAATTGACAGGATTCAAGTTTCCACTTGACCGTTCGGAAGGGAGGATGAGAAAGCAAATAATCAGGAGTCAGGATAAGTATAAAATATTAATTTTATCATAAAAATTACATCTTAGAAAACTGACTTCACTAAGTGAAAAGTCATGACTGAATATTTCTCTAAGACTCCAGGAAGTTTATGTTCATGACATATTAGTCATCACTTTAAAGTAGCAAGTTGAATCATGTTGTACGTATCAGCAATAACAACCTGGATAGGAAAATCTGAAAAATGACTCTAAACAATTTTTTGATGATTGTTCGTTGGTAATGAAGCAATCATCAATTGTGAAATTTCAACCAATTCCCAACACTATTGTTATATCATAAAGAATATATCAAATAAATATCCTTTTAAACTATTCTTTGTTTTGAATTTTTATTGTTTCAGTTCAGATGACTCTGATTCAGACAGAGACAGTTTCTCATCAGATAATCCAGACTATATAAAATTTGAGGTATGCAGGTCTTTTCCACAATCATTGAAGTAAGAAGCAGTATTGCAGCTGACTTTGCCTTGGAAATTAGTTGGATCAGATGCTATTCCATATTCCCACTAATTTAATTGTGGTGGAAATTCTGTGACATAATAGATCCCTCCTCCTCCTCCTCCTCCTCCTCCTCCTCCTCCTCCTACTACTACTACTCCTACTACTCCTACTACTACTACTACTACTACTCCCTCCTCCTCCTCCTCCTCCTACTACTACTACTACTACTACTACTACTACTACTACTACTACTACTACTACTTGATTTATGCAGCAAAGTTTCCTTTGTGTGGTGCTCATTTAAGGCTGTCAGTTGTTTTTACTTGATTCTAAAATCTTTATTGTCACTGCCATTCACCGCCATTCACTGTTTGCCTGCTAGCAGAAAGAGAGTAATCATTACAATTTTAGCATTTTGTTTAGTTCAGAGACGCAGAGATTTCAAAATGTTGATGTTTTTTTTGTTTTCCTTACCCTCTATAATTCTCACTTATATGGGCTCTTGACAAAGGGTGGGGTGTTTTGAGAGATACATCAGTAATGAACATACTTTCTTAGTTATCAATTTGATGAAACTATAATAATAATACTATATATTAGTAGGGGAGCTTATAATGATTATTTAATGACTGGTGACGAGGAAGGTCAAGGAGCACCTAATACTGAACAAATGGTGTATAAAATTTTCAAGCAGAAGAGACCCTCGAATCCCTTACTTTCCTTCCTCAGTGCCATTATCATGATTATCATCCCTATCATTGCGAACCATAATCACAACTATTGTAATTCTAGGACTCCAATGCAATGAATTCCCTGATGTCTGATTTCTACAAAAGTTCACCAATACACACAAAGCCTGGTGAAAAGTCTCAAGTAAATAAGGAAAGTAGTCCGCTGCCTGTTGACATGAAAGGTGGGAAAAATACACAAAGAGCATCACCCAAGGTTGGAGGCTGGTATATTGACAGAGGGACACCTAAAACTACAAACAATGATGTTGATGTTATTGGTGGCATCGCTGACAATGGCAGTGAACGTACCGAAGACCGAGATGTCAGCATCACTGAGACAAGCAAGTCGTTGTTGCAGACACCAATGTCAGGGAAGGTAGGGTGTTGTTAACTCGTGAAATAGCTGGTCATGTTCTTTGAAGGGACCCAGCATCTTGTCAGACACCAAGCTACTTACGTAATATGTGTGGAGTATTCCTGCAGAAAGTATGGCAACTTGTAAAGTCACAAAAGATATTATCAGATAGGGCTGGCTAAAAAGATCGATAATCAGGAATGTTGTTGATGGGAATCATTATTAATGATCATCAGTTTGAAAATTATGTGAATAATTGTGATGAAATAATATTAAAATTTACTCAAGGAAAATACACAAAGTTAGGTCTTTATTCATGGACTGATCCTAAAAATATGTGGATGCATGTATGATAAAGAAATTGTTGATGGCGCTAGTGTGTATCTAATTGTGAAACATTCTTATTGTTCATCTCGATTGGTGATGTGGAGAGTGATACACAGCATCATTGGTTGTCATGGTTCCCTACAGACATGGGATAATATCATTCTAATGTCTATTTCAGCCGCAGAAAGATGATATTATGAAGAGTGGGAAGAAGAAAGTAAGAAAGCTAGGTGATAAACGAGAAGAAAAGAAAAAAGGTGAACACTAAACTGAAGCAGTCACCTGTTTGTTGTCATGTAATGTAGATGATGTATGATATGCATCCCTTTGGGCTGTTTACTGACATTAATTGATGCACCATGCTATGTCTATTCAAAGCAGCATTAAACTGAACTGTTTCAGGACCTGCAGTGCAGACGTCGAGTGTTACGTTCCATGATGTGGGAGGGAATGATGCTACACTGCAGGTAGGGCTTCTCTTGCTTTAGATCTGTACACTTTTTGTGCTCAAATTTATCAGCTTTATTTAGTGATGTCATCTAGACAGTTTCATGTTTAAACAGGTGGTTGTTATGAACACACATTACGATTTAGAAAGTGGTCAAATGTAACATGTTATATATAGGATTACACTTTCTCAGTGAAGTACAGATTCTAGTACTTTTGTTGGGTTGAGTCCCATGTAGGATTCGAACCCACACCCTCAGAGTCAGCACTTAATCGCCAACAAACAAAGTCAGACCGACTGGAAGTCGCGGTGGCTGAGTGGGTAGCCGGCTGACTTTGTGTGCTGGGGATTAGGTGCCTGACTCTGAGGGTATGGGTTTGAATCCTGCATGGGACTCAACCCGACAAAAGTACTAGAATCTGTACTGAGAAAGTGTAAATATAACATGTTTCAGGTGGTTCTTGTAAACAGTTTTCATTTTTTTTCAAAGCGAAAATAAGTTACATATTACATAGCAGTGACTGTCTTGAACCGTGGAACAGGACATTTATAACTGTGAATAAACACTACATCTTGGAGGATATATTGTTCGAGGTCTATACACACCGCATATCTCTGATATTTTTGTTGGTCCGATTAAGGATTGCTCCAAATTGAGGCCTTGAGTATTTCTTACTCACTCACTGTATAAAGGAATCAGCCGGAAACAATGGAATTTTTGATTACAATATGCCAAATATAGCGTATGTTAATGGAGTTTTTTTAGTAGTAGGGGGAATGGGGGTACTGGACCAAGTCCAACAAAAGCCTCTGCAAAGCCTTATTTCCCAAATAAGGCTTTTGTCAGGCCCTTAGATCTCGCCCAATTACCCCTACTATAAAAAAGTTTGAGACGCCAGCGGGATACGAACCCCACATGTATACCTCACAACCGCACCACTTAACCGACTGAGCTACCGGGGACTTTGCTGAAGTGTGTCGGTTTAACGGGTCTATCCTGGGATTGCATCATCCAAAGCTGGGCTGTGTCTATAATAGCTCCACGTGCCCGCTATGACACTATTGTGCCGCTATGTCGCGTTGACCTCGATGAAACAGTTTATTCTTCTTCATAGAGATCGTCCTTGGGGTACATATTATGCATTTTCCATGCTGAAAATGTCCTGTGACAGTTGTATCAATATTTTTTGAATAAAAAGATTGTACAATAAATAAACTTTTTTATTTATTATACGGCCCCCACCTCGTGGAGTTACCTCCCGTTACGCATGCTCACCAACTGGGTAAGCACCTAGGCCCGTATCATCATTCCTTCTGCTGAATAAATCAGTGAACAGAATTGCGGGGAGGCGGGAGGCCCTACCCCAAGGACGACTCTCTTCGAAGAATTGAAAACCTCTTCAGGTTTGGTTAATTCTCCTTCATAGAGATCGTCCTTGGGGTACATATTATGCATTTTCCACGCTGAAAATGTCCTGTGACAGTTGTATCAATGTTTTTCGAATAAAAAGATTGTACAATAAATAAACTTTTTTATTTATTATACGGCCCCCACCTCGTGGAGTTACCTCCCGTTACGCATGCGCACCAACTGGGTAAGCACCTAGGCCCGTATCATCATTCCTTCTGCTGTCACTCACATGTGAAGACGTGTTCGATGTGCAGAGCAGCGCTGTTTTCTCCTAAAGAAATTGAAAGAGATATGTCTGAGACACCACCTGTATGTATGGTCTTTATTTTATGTCCTTGCAAGGAACTGTAAAGCTTCGCGGTCGGTTGTTTCATAATTGTGACTTTGTTTTAATTATTTTACGCTAACTTTCCGTGGTTTACGCACATGTTGCTCTGCCATGGCGGGAAGTTTAGCATGCCACATGGTTGTAATATTGCGTATTGAACCAAGTATTTCTTCCCGTGGTAGCCTTCACGTATTTTTCAATGTTTTCTACGTGTATATTAGCTGCTGGTCCGCTGTTAGCTACATGCTTGCGTGTTTGCTTTCAGGCGTTTTCCTCCTGTACGGTCTTTGTTTACATTTCGCACCATGTGCGATTTACTATGCTAACCTTTGGAGGTCGTCTTTGAGCACAAATCCTCCCTGTCAGTTCCCCTCCCATAATGCCTCTCGCGGACGCGAAAACTGGGACATACGACAGGGAGTGTCATGGCGTCTGTTACATTATTTCAATTAACGATAGCTATTTGTGTGTGCTTGGACAGAATTCCCTCCTCCCTGGCCTCCGGTCTTTGGGAGTCTGTGTTTATGCATAATATGTACCCCAAGGACGATCTCTATGAAGAAGAATTAACCAAACCTGAAGAGGTTTTCAATTCTTCGAAGAGAGTCGCCCTTGGGAATAAACCTCCTCCCGCAATTCTGTTCACTGATTTATTCAGCAGAAGGAATGATGATACGGGCCTAGGTGCTTACCCAGTTGGTGCGCATGCTCAACGGGAGGAAACTCCACGAGGTGGGGGCCGTATAATAAATAAAAAAGTATATTTATTGTACAATCTTTTTATTAAAAAACATTGATACAACTGTCACAGGACATTTTCAGCGTGGAAAATGCATAATATGTACCCCAAGGACGACTCTCTTCGAAGAATTGAAAACCTCTTCAGGTTTGGTTAAATGTGAATCGCCTATGATCTCTTTGGTGTTTGTAATAAAGGCTTGCTGGGCTTTTCGTACTCCCTGTTCTATGTACTTTTTTTTCTCATCTTCACTGATAGCAGACTTACGAGACTTTGAACGAATCTCTTGTTTCATTTTGTTATATTTTGTGAGTTCAGAGAGAATTGAACGAAACTCCTCCTCTGAGATCTTGTTGTCAGTGAGTGCCGTGGAAATACGCTCACTTACCGTGTTCAGCTTGGCTTCGGCCAGAACCCTGATCTCGTTGGGTTTCAATGCCTTACGATGCAGTCTGCGTGATGCAAACTTAAGCGCCAACCCTAACACCCCTGCCACCCCAGCTGTTATTTCAACTCCTAACACTACTGGTGTAGCCACGATGGTAGTTAACAACCCAACACCTGCCGCCCCTAGCCCCATGCTGGTTGTCATAAGGGCAGTATCAGCCCCGTCTACGATGTTGAAAGCTCTATGGTACTTTTTACATAGTGCTTTCCGCGTGTCGCGGTCTTGTTCTAGTTGGCGTTTTACATCACTTAACTGTCTCAAGCGGAAACCTTCAGACAGGTTCCAGGGTCTTCGCTACTTCCTCTACGACTGGGTACAGACCCATTCTGTGTGGCTATAATATATCTTATTAGATATTTTTTAATTGGGCTTCAGTTAATAGTCGATCAACGTACTTGAGGCTTATAAGACTTAGATTCTTGTATGTGGAGATATGGGAAGGGTCAATAGGTAAACTCTGAAATATATCAACACTATGGCAGTCTATTAAGGGGGGTAGTAATCTCAGTGGATGGTCCAATCGTATAACGATACGGCAACGTGTGTAGGTGTCTTCAGGGATACCCCAATTTATTTTCACCCCAGGTAAAAGTTCCAGGTATGATGAACCATCAAGCTCACCCTTATAAGCGACTTCTATGATGAGTGTGGAGCCTGGGGCCATAGTCCTAAACCCTGCCATGGCATCGGGTCTGTTGGTTATTAACCCTGACCGCCCGGGTGAAACTAACATGTTGCCCGAGTAAAATGGTATTTTAGAAACTATCATTTCGTGAGTTGGAAGGAAAGACGTGAGGATGAAGCCATTGTTATTAATTTCGGAGACATAGCCATCTTTGTCTAATGAGATATAAGGTGCGGTGAGGGTTATGTTGATCAACCATTCGGGTTCTTTATAGTCTGCTAGGGGCACCCGCCTATACACGTTGCCTTTCAAGTGTAGGACATATGAGCCACCTTCCCCACCAAGCTGATCGAATCCCTCTAGGTCCCTGAGTGTGATTTTTGGTAGATGATCGTCCATTGCCGCCCGCCTATACACGTTGTCTTTCAAGTGTAGGACATATGAGCCACCTTCCTCCCCAGGCTGATCGAATCCCTCCGTGTCCCCTAGGTCGTTAAGCGTAGCGTTGGGACGATGACTGGTCATTGCTATAATACTATTACGATATAGTTTCCAACTGGTTTTCTGATAATAGTTCAGGGGTTAACTTCACCCCCATGAAGTGTATGTTGTCGGGTAGGAAGATTTTGGTTAGTGATATCGTGTTTTCCACGATCACGGTGACACCCTGCAGACTGGTTTTGGAGTCGACACCCACCCGCACGTAAACTGTTCAAACATGATACTGGTGTCGTTTCGCCCACCCGAGTTTGATCCCCTTCACGATCTCTACATCACCCCTTGATGGTTCCCCTAGGTAGACTTTGATGATCAGTGTTGAGTTCACCGGTAGACTCTCCAGGATGGTGACCACGCCTTCGAATTCAGACACCAACTGCAATGTCACGTTTTGCATTCCCGGTTTACTCGATAGCATGTGGGCTGCCATACTGGCGACTGGGCTGATGATTACGCTACGTCTCTGAGTCGGGACGTAAGCCACTAGCAGGGTTCCGTTGTTCACGACTTTGTTTAGGTGGTTGTCTTTGTTATCCGTGAACACGTAGGGGGAGCCGAGCCTAATATTGAGAAACCAGTCGTCTTTATCGGGTAACAACACCCACTTGTCATCTTCAGTGAAGACGAGTGTATATGGCTTGTTTCGGGCGACGGTAGTGCTCTCAACATCGTCTAAGTCAAACAGTTTGCCCCCGAACGATGGGTATATGATCCATATATCATCACCGGTGTTGACTAGGGTGTACTTAGTGTTGACGACCGCTCTTGAGGTATCTACTATATCACCTAGGGCTCCACCGGGGGGGACTTCAACGCGTTTGTAAATGTTGTTTTTCAGTTGCAAGGCGTACAATTTACCATCTACTCCGGGAGCGTCGAATCTGCATGTGTCCCCGAGGTCGGATTGATGCATTTTTTCAACCCGTGTCCTTGTGCGCTGGTCATTTTATGTGAAGCGTTATGCTGAGGT